TTATATTTATGTATACTTATATTGGTCTCATTAACAGTTTCTCTGCCCTGTGATAAGCTGTTTTTAAAAAGGCAGTTTCAAAATATTTTTCTGCTGATGGTTTTATATATTTGAAAAAAAAAATATTGTAATTAAGATTGTTGTTGTTGTGGCACTTAAAATCATTTTTCAGCACAATAGGCTATAAATGGTGGCCAGTAATAATGGTGGAGGAAGAAACTGGGAAATCCGCAGAAAGAACCACCAACCCACGAGAAACTACTGGCAAGCTTTCTCACATATCCACATTCACTGAATCTTAGACTCAAAACCACTCAGACAGGTTAGATGGTAGTGATCCATAATGGAGAGCGCTTTAGACCACTTGGGGCTCTTTACAAAGGTCATGGTATTTATGCATGGGACCATAGTACTTCAGTTGCTAGAGATTAGGACTCAATATCAGGGGATAGCTGGTTCAATAACTGTCCAGGTCAGCCAGGATTGTATGCCTCGGTGTGTCCTTGTGTCCTAGCTAGCTCCCATTTCTTCAGCTTAATACAGCCAATAAGGTCTTAAAACTGCCATTAAAATAAACAAAAAACAAGAAAACTTTGTATTTGCACATATTGCTAGACATTAAAATGGGTGGAAGCAATACATTATGAACAGTTTATTAAGAAGGAAAAAAAATTCCATCCTCATTGCAGAATAACTATTAAAACTGCAGTGCTTGATTTGAGAAATAAATGGGTTGATAATTGCTGTTCTGTTAATTTTAAATTAAATTCAGATTGGATGGTTAAATTTTGATTCAAGAACATATTAATTTTGCCATGCTTGATGAAATGTATAAATGTATTAAAAAAGTTTGGGGTTTTTTTACACAGAAATTCATAACATTTTTCTATATACATATCCCATAAAGCCCTCAACACAAATGTATAAGGGGATTCTGCTGTGCACATGTTGTTTTCCTTCTATTCTTTTCCTTACATATCCCTTGTGATTAGATCATAGTGCTCCTGGAAACTGCACCACACCTTAACACAGTGACATATGCTTATCAAGGGAGGGGAAACTTACACAGAACCATCTGTCATTGTTTAACATCCATAGACTTAAGGCTATTATAGTCTGTTTCATAATTACTATTTTTGTAGATAGGAATATGCATTTATGGCAGGTTTGTGCCTCATCAGTTAATTCTTGGCATGGATACCTATGACATCTCATTACTTGGGCCTTTTGCACTGTTATATGAAAGTGTAATACATTATTTATAACACTTAGAAATATAAAGATTAGGTTATCTCTTTTATGTCTGACTCCTAGCAATCATATAATTATTAACTGAGATGCACATATCTGGGGATGGTACAAAATATGTCAGTAAGTGAATTTTGTGCAAGTTTATATTTTAAAAATGTGTAATATTTATTTTTAAATTTCCATGATATACTACCTGACTTAGGAATAAATCTACTTCACTGCTGCAAATTCAAGTTTTTGTACAAACTTTATTATTTGCACATGAAGCCCATTTAGGAGGTCATGGGTTTGATCCCTGGTAGAGTCATACCAAAGACATATCAAAATGATACTAACAGCTTAGCTTTCAGCATTAAGAGGTTAGTGTTAGGACTTGTTAGCCTGGTGTCAGGATAATGTGACTGGGTAATACATGTCTGAGTCATTATGTCCCAGTGCTAGACATTGCTATAAACTGGTATGGAAATGCTTCTCAAGAGGTGTATAGAAACCATAAATGACATGGGGATGTAATTTATGGGGTGTATCCAAACCCAACATGGTATGGCAATGCATCTCAAGAAGTGTATCCAAACCATACATAGTATGGCAATGCATCTCAAGGGGTGTATCCAAACCATATATGGTATGGCAATGCATCTCAAGGGGTGTATCCAAACCATATATGGTATGACAATGCATCTCAAGGGGTGTATCCAAACCATACATAGTATTGGGATGCACATTAAGGGGTGTATCCAAACCATACATAGTATTTGATACATCTCAATGTGTATAATCAAACCTCACATAGCATGGGAGGTATCTCAGTTTATGTAACCAAACCATGCATGGCAATCAGAAGATATCACAGTGTATATAACTAAGCTACACCTGGCATTTGGTGTCTCATTGTGTGTAACCAAATCACAAATGACATGGGGAGGTATCTCAGTATGTAACCAAACAACTCATGGCATGAGGAGGGATCTCATTGTGTGTAACCAAACCATACATGGTATTGGCATGCATCTCAAGGTAACTAAACCACACTGTACTGGAGTGCATCTCATAATAAGTAACTAAACCACACCAAAGTAAGTTACTGTGGCCTATTTTGTAATTTAAGAATCTGAGTGACTTTTGAATTTTCAGTTACCACTATTACTTTTATTCCCTAAGTATCCTGGACCTTATTTCACTTAAACTCATGAAAATTTGCATATGGATGCATCTCAAAGAGAGTATTTCAATCATGTAAAAACTAAGTTACATTGACCTGATTTAATACTAGAATGACTTTCAACAGTTCCATACAACCTTTGTATCTTCAAACCATTTTCATCTACATAAGAAAATTGGTATGATGATGCATTTGAAAGTGTGCATATTGTCTATGCTTAGACTAGGTTGTTGTGACCTAATATTCATGTTTGTTATAATCTTTTTCTTTTGACACTACACTGGTGATACTTGGTTGATGCATTTTAATAAGTAGTTGATTGAGGTACATACTATCTCCCTTGCTAAAGCTCAAATCAGTTGGTAACAGATTCAGCATTGTCAAGATGAAATTTTTTGCATTGCTCTTAACTCCCATTGCCTTGATATCATTCATTCGTACTGTATATTGTTGTCAACTCCTGATATGCTGCTGTTTTGGACTGGTTCATGTTCATGAGAAAATATTGTTTTATAATCACTTTCATTTATAGACATGTAAGGCACCAATCACTTTATCTTTAGTGCACGCCAAATGTTTTCCTTTTACTTTTTTTGCTTTAAAAATGAGGTTTGCCTCTTTTGTTTATCCATGTGTCTTATGTTATTTGGTGAAAAGGTTTTGGTCTAAAGGGGTGGGTAGAAAAGAAAATACCTTAACTTGAAGAAAAATCAAAGCCGCTTCGCCCAGAAGATAAAATGGTTACAGCCAGAAATTGAGTGATTGAATGGACTTGATAGGACTAGAGGAAATTCTGTTGTCATTTGCTAATGATGACATATACCATGCAACTTTGTAATAAGTGTCCTATGCATTTACTATTGTATTTTGTGTAGCTGAACACAGATAAATTTGTTATTGTACGAAAAATATTACAACTTTAAATATGCATAATATTATTAAAATATCTCTTTTACTGGCTTTTGTAATTTTCTTCACCATCGTGTCTGTATATTAACAATGCTTTACTTATTTATTTATGTATATTAACAAAACATTAGTTATTTCTGTATACTGTATTAACAATACATTACTTAGTTTCTATACAATGACTACACATTACTCAGTTTCTGTTTATTAACAACACATTAGTTTCTGTTTGTTAACAACACATTACTTAGTTTCTGTATATTAAAAACATAATACTTAGATTCTGTTTATTAACAACACATTTTACTTAGTCTCTGTATATTAACAAAACATTACTTAGTTCCTGTATATTAACAACAACATTACTTAGTTTCTGTATATTAACAATACATTACTTTGTTTCTGTTTATTAACAACACATTTTACTTAGTCTCTATATTAACAACACATTACTTAGTTTTCTGTATATTAACAAAGCATTACTTTTGTTTCTGTTTATTAACAACGCATTTTACTTAGTCTCTGTATATTAACAACCCATTACTTATTTCTGTATATTATCAACACTTATTACTCTATTGACTGTAATACCATTTAATTTCTCGTACACCACAAAACCATGCATGCTAGAATTAGTTTGGTTTTTTTTCTCAAATTTTTGGTACAGAAAACTTTCTATTCCAACAAAAATTTTATAAAGTGTTGACACCTAAGAAAATAGTAATTTTATATTTGTTGAATTATATGTACTCTTAAAATCGGAATTAATGACAATTGTATGTAAATTTGCATCTAGTTTTATTATAGCTCATGCAGCCTCATTGTTTTGAATATATTACCACTTTCAATATATACTTGCTTATAAGTCAAGTCTAGCTAATAACATAGACCAAATCTACTATCTTATAATGTGCCAGCCGATCAGGGTCTATATTCAGTCATGAATTTATTTTCTCTCATTTCAAAGTTAAAATCTTTACACACATGTGATTTCCAAGTATCAGGAGTCTACTTTTTCTAGACACATACATTACTATGGACAAAACACTGGACACAGTCATATATTTATATTGTAACTATTCCCCAGTATTTCATTAATAGTCATGAAATTTGTAATTTTATGGTCATCACTTGAAGATGTCCATATTCACAAATCACTGCACTCCCAAAAATGATTAGCTCACCTTTACAGTGTTTTATATCCTGTGTACCTACTGTTATACCAGGAATCATGAAAGTGCAGTATAGAATAGTATGCAAACACCATTCAATTTCACCTTCATCACAAAAGAAAGTCACTGTGATCCATATTTCAGACTTCAATAACATTGGTTAAATATCTTGAGTGAGTATATATGATAGCTGGCATGCTATAATTGCAAACCATCCAATCTAGAATGATGAAACTTGGTGAGGAGATGAATCTTGATAATTATTACACCTCTATTACAAAAAAGAAGTCTAAGACATATTTCATGCTTCAGTGACTTTGTTAAAATTTTGTCTTTAAAGTTCATTTACTGGGTGCAGTTTATTTTTTAAGCATGAAAGTTAATAATTAGATGCCTCAATTACAACCAAAAATGATACTATAACTGACTGAAGTGTTATGCTTTACTTACATATTTAAAGTTCCAGTATTTGTTTATAGCTCATGATTGTAGTTTTATTTATGCTATCCTAGCCATAGTGGTTAGAACATCTGCCTCGGATGCGGGAGGTCGCAGGTTCAAACCCTGGTCAAGTCATATCAAAGACTTATAAAAATGGTACTAGCAGCTGCCTAGATAGGCACTCAGCATTAAAAGGTTATCGTTAGGACTGGTCATCTTCTTGTCCGGATAATGTGACTGGGTGGGACATCACGATGTATGACTGCAGCATGATGGCTCAGAGCTTGACATCACTATAAACTGTCACACTGCTGATATCGTAGTGATATGACTGAAATTTTTTTAAAGCTATGTTAAAGATCCAAATCCCACACACATCCTAGTCATACAGGAGGCCCTTTCTGAATGTTGCAGTTGGAAGTAGGAATAAATGTTTATTCAATAGTAAACTTATCATATTAATGTCTCTATATTATTTTGTGTATGTGTGAATGAGTATTGGAATTAGATGAGTGGTTTGCATCTCATGCTGAGGCCTTAGCTGTAGTGATTAATCAAAGTATAGGTCATACTGCCTGTCACTCCAAGGTTACTTTAGTTGAGTGGTTTTCATGCATCTCATATTGAGGCCTTAGCTATAGTTTATAATCAAAGTATAGGTCATACTTGCTGTCACTCCAAGGTTACTTTAGATGAGTGGTCTGCATGCATCTTGTGGCATTAGCTGTAGTTTATAATCAAAGTATAGGTCATACTGGCTGTCACTCCAAGGTTACTTTAGTTGAGTGGTTTTCATGCATCTCCTATTAAGGCCTTAGGCTGTAATGATTAATCAAAGCATAGGTCATACTGGCTGTCACTCCAAGGTTACTTTAGTTGAGTGTTTTTCATGCATCTCCTATTGAGGCCTTAGGCTGTAATGATTAATCAAAGCATAGGTCATACTTGCTGTCACTCCAAGGTTACTTTAGATGAGTGGTCTGCATGCATCTTGTGGCATTAGCTGTAGTTTATAATCAAAGTATAGGTCATACTGGCTGTCACTCCAAGGTTACTTTAGTTGAGTGGTTTTTATGCATCTCATATTGAGGCCTTAAGCTGTAGTGATTATTCAAAGTAAAGGTCATACAAGCTGTCACTCCAAGGTTACTTTAGTTGAGTGTTTTTCATGCATCTCCTATTGAGGCCTTAGGCTGTAATGATTAATCAAAGCATAGGTCATACTTGCTGTCACTCCAAGGTTACTTTAGATGAGTGGTCTGCATGCATTTCATTTTGTGGTCTCAGCTGTAGTGATTAATCAAAGAATAGGTCATAATGGCTGTCACTCCAAGGTTATTTTAAATGAGTGGTCTGCATGCATTTCATCTTGTGGCCTTAGCTGTAGTTTATAATAAAAGTATAGGTCATATTTGCTGTCACTCCAAGGTTAGTTTAATGCCTATGATTTTCACTGAGTCAAATGTGGCTTCTGGTGATGGCTCTTGTTGTGTTGTTGATTTCAGCACATTAGAGGCTATAAATAATGGCCAGTAAAACTAGAAAGACCCCAGACATAGAACCACCTACCTATGAATAATTACTGGCAAGCTTTCTCACATATATGTCACATTTGGTTGAGTCTGAGACTCAAACCCAATGCAGACACAGGTGAGATGGTAGTGATTATAAAGGCAATCACTTTAGACCACACCTGGGGCTCCTGCTTCTAGTGATGAACAAAAACAATAGCTTTTGTAGAAGATTTTAAAATTAATGGTTTTTAAATAAAGATAAAAAACAAAGCTAATCTTTGGCTTTAATCACTCATTACAGTACCTTGTACAACCTAGAAAACTCCATGAATATCAAAATGCTAATATTTCCTTGAAATACCTGAATTTGTTTTCAAAAGCCCTCAATGTCTAAAAATAATAAATAAAATTAAATAAAATTTGGTAAGCAAGTGTTACACAAAACCAGTTGTAAAAAAGTAACATCTTTAGACCATTCAACAGAAATAGTGTTTTGAAAACTTTTGTAGTTTCATAAATAACAATCTCCCAGGGCTGTGTGAACCATGCTTTACTTTGGTATCATGGAAAAGAAATATCTTTTTTTTATTATTTAAGTCTTTCATAGGGGTCAACATTTCATTGTTAAGATCATATTAGTCTTAAAAATATTTTCTGCATGAAAATTAATGTTTACCACGGTCTTTGGAGATGACTGAAACTTTCACTGCGCTGAGCTTTGTAATCCATAACTACACTGTATGTTCAGCATCATCTTAAGATGCCGCTGAATGCTGTGCAAGACAGAGTCATGAGAATGCAACTTAAGTCGATATTTTTCATTGGATTACCATGAAACTTTTAAATGTTTTGATCATTATTCAAGATGCACATATTGACAAATCACTTTCTCATTTAGTTTTTCTCAAGAGTTATTACCCTTTGGTCCTTTAGCTGACTGCAGTGTATGACATTATCTTATGAACACAGGTAGTCCCAGACTTTTTAATGGATCTTAATGAAACTTGTTGATATCATGGTCATCATCTGACAATGTGCACATCAGTAAATCATTGTGGTCCTTTAATAGTTATTGCCCTTGTGTACTTGAAGCTGCATCACACAGATTTAAGTGGATTGCCATTGGAAAATGGTATGATCATCATGTAAAGATATGCATAATGATAAAAATCAGTCCTGCTGCAAGCTCTGTTGGAATGTCTGGAAAATTTGAAATAGAGCCTGATGTAATGTGTAAGAGGTTTATTTGAATGCAACTAAGTATTCAGTGGATAGCCATGAAATAGTATACATGTTTTGGTCATTTTAAAAGGCACATATCAAGAAGTTATTTTCATGCCTGATAAGGTTAAAGTCAAGATCTCTGCCATAACAGAGGTTTACCAGGCAGTAAAATTAATGTTCTGGTGACCTTCAGAATTCCCAGTCCATTTCTTTTAGCAGTCTCACAGATTAAGTATTTCATCACATTGCCATAAATCTTGTTGCCATGAAAGTTTTTCTTACATGTTATTGGCATCATCTGATAAGATTCACATTGACAAATCAGTGCACTCTCATAATTTTTGTTTGAGTTATTGCCCTTTTTGTTTGCAACTGAATGCAACTAATATTCAAACAGAATTTTGCGAATGCAATTTGTCTAACATTTTTTTATGGATCCCAATGAAACCTTTTGTGAATGCAATTTGTCTAACATTTTTTATGGATCCCAATGAAGCATTTTGTGAATGCAATTTGTCTAACATTTTTTATGGATCCCAATGAAGCATTTTGTGAATGCAATTTGTCTAACATTTTTTTATGGATCCCAATGAAACCTTTTGTGAATGCAATTTGTCTAACATTTTTTATGGATCCCAATGAAGCATTTTGTGAATGCAATTTGTCTAACATTTTTTATGGATCCCAATGAAGCATTTTGTGAATGCAATTTGTCTAACATTTTTTATGGATCCCAATGAAACATTTGTGAATGCAATTTGTCTAATATTTTTTTATGGATCCTAATGAAACATTTTGTGAATGCAATTTGTCTAACATTTTTTATGGATCCCAATGAAACATTTGTGAATGCAATTTGTCTAATATTTTTTTATGGATCCTAATGAAACATTTTGTGAATGCAATTTGTCTAACATTTTTTTATGGATCCCAATAAAACATTTTGTGAATGCAATTTGTCTAATATTTTTTATGGATCACTATGAAACTTTTTGTAAATGCAATTTGTCTAACAGTTTTTTTTATGGATCCCAATAAAACATTTTGTGAATACAATTTGTCTAATATTTTTTATGGTCTCCAATGAAACCTTTTGTGAATGCAATTTGTCTAATATGTTTTATGGATGCCAATGAAACCTTTTGTGAATGCAATTTGTCTAATATTTTTAATGGACCCCAATGAAACTTTTACATGTCATGGTGATCATGTAAATATGCCCATATTAGCAAACTTTCATGCTCACATCATTTTTGTAAGAGTTATCACCTTTTTTACCTTTAGCTCAATGCAGTATTATATAATGTGAAAGCAGTTTTCTGGTGCATTGCTTGTCATCATCAGAAAATATGCATTGTATAGGTCAATCATTTTATTCCAATAGATAAGTTGCCTTATGGATATATTATATTACTATAGATTTATCTTTATCATGTTTGTATGGGTGGGATGCAGAAGAGGTGGAGGAATATTATGTAGCAAAAATACTTATGTAACTAGTTTATTACTACTTTTTTTTAATTTTGAACAATTATAGGTACTGAAAAAAATTATTTTTATACCTCAGATTATTTGTACAAATGACAAATTCTAAACTGTTTATGAATATTGGCAAGTTATGCAGTATTTCTTCACAAGGTTTATACTTACCAGTTCACATAAAATTTAATAAAATTAGCATAGCAGAAGCCAGTGGTAATGATTATAGTTAAAAACTTTTATTGCTTTTATAATTTTTCATGCAAAAACATTTTAAAAATTATTAAAATTCAAAAGATCTCATCGAAAATAATCTACTGTCACTCAACATTTGGTGCAACAATAAACTTTTAGCAATGTTCACAAGGAAATTATATTCACTAAATTCAGGCATACAAAGGGGTTTGTATTGATGCATACTGGTTATAAAGAAGTTATTGATATTGACACATAAAAGTAAAAAATAGAGTATTTGTATTGGTGCATAGAGGCATAAAAAGAGTATTTCTGTTAATGCATACAAGCATATGGAGAGTACTGGTATTGATGCATAAGAGTTTTGGTGCTGATGCATATAGGCATACAAAGAGTATTTCTGTTAATGCATATAAGCATACTGAGAATACTGGTATTGATGCATAAGAGTTTTGGTGCTGATGCATATAGGCATACAAAGAGTATTTCTGTTAATGCATACAAGCATACTGAGAATACTGGTATTGATGCATAAGAGTTTTGGTGCTGATGCATATAGGCATACAAAGAGTATTTCTGTTAATGCATACAAGCATACTGAGAATACTGGTATTGATGCATAAGAGTTTTGGTGCTGATGTATATAGGCATACAAAAAGTATTGATGCATGCTGGCATACAGAGAATATTGATATTGATGAATACAGAGCTACAGAAATAGATGCATAC